TGAAGCATAAATTAAATATAGGATTAGTTTGGATCTCTATTATGAGGCGCTCACCAACTTTGTAATAAGGGCATAGTGGTCTTGGACTTCTGAGTCAAAATAATAATTGTCCACAATTCTTCGTTACAGTTTGTGAATTAAGAAAAGGCGTTTCCTCGGTAGTTTTTATTTATTTAGTTCATCTAATTAGTCTGTTTCAATGAAATTTCTGTGATATCCACAATGTTATATTCATAATGTCTAAATTCTTATTTATAATTACCTTCTGAACTAGTTAGCTGAAATTCTCTTTCAATCGCTCCATCATCGTCTGATTTAGATAACCATCGATTACACACAAACTCATAATGTCGACCTTTAGATGGCAAATCAATACTTACTGTACCTAAGTACCACCCAGGGCCTGGCCCGGAGTTATCATGTTCTATTTTAATTCTTTCAATCTAAAATCAGACAGTCAATAATCTACTAGTAATAGTAATGTAAATAATGTAAGATATTAACAATGAGTGTTTCCTTGTCAACATTCAAAACAACATAAATCAACTGGAACTATAACTAAAAGGTTTAATTAATAGTCTAGTTATTAGGGTAGAAATTTTGAAAATGAATTGTATTCTGTCAAAATAAAATACCAAACAATAAAAAAACATTTTCTTAGAAATCCAAAGAATTCTAGGAGTAAAAATAGACTTGTGGGATTTCAAAGAAACGTTCAAGTGAGAGGCATTTCTGGGTAACAGTCGGTAATGTATTTTTCCAACATATTTCAGATATGCCGAATCGGAAAAAAACTGTTTCAAAACAAAATTCTGGGTTCTGTACCTCAAAATTTTCATATCAAATAGTCTGCTATAAGACTTTCATTTAAAACTTTTTATATTTAATATTAAAATCTTTTTCGTTTCCAATATTAACTACAGATTGTCAAAATCTCCTATGGAAAGTTAAAATCAAGATAGTGGACCTCAGCCAAATGCGGAAGGTAAAAACGAAACATCCATTTTAAGTTTCATCAAAATCATTTGAAAACTAAGAGAGTAATAGCATATTCAAGATTTTGGGACAAGGACAATAACTCTGCTTCTAAAGGTCGAAAATAGCTCAAATTCGAACTTCGTTTTATAAATATGTATACACATACCGAATTTCATTTGATTCCATAAAAAAAATCTAGTTTTTAGAGCGTTTACAAGCAAATGTTGACGGACGGAAGGTGGTTATGATCTACATTAGCACCCAAATTTACGATAAAAATAAACACCAATAAAAACAGTGTTAAGATAAGATAAAAGAAATACAAGTGAAACCCTGCTGCAAATTTTGTAGAAAATACTTTATGTTCAGTCTTTATTTCTATGGTTATCGGATTTCCTTACCTGTCCAATGACTGGAGCGGTAAGTATAAAAGTATCAATGTAGTTTCGTTTAAACGGATCAGAATGATTAAGAGATTGGTCTAGTTGTAAAGGACCTGTGTCTCCACGACTACCATAAATTCTCAGAGTAACTTTGGCGTTGGTCCCTGCGTAAACTACATCTCGTGTTTTTACTTCTACTCGATACGAGGTATCTGAAAAACCAGTCAACAATTTCATATATGTTTTCATTAGAAACACTCTAAGTTTGGCAGTATTCATCTTCACAATGATCAAGATATTACATCTTCATTTTCTACAATGATCAAGATATTACATCTTCATCTTCTACAATGATCAAGATATTACATCTTCATCTTCTACAATGATCAAGATATTACATCTTCATCTTCTACAATGATCAAGATATTACATCTTCATGTTCACAATGATCAATATATTACATCTTCATCTTCTACAATGGTCAAGATATTACATCTTCATCTTCACAATAATCAATATATTACACCTTCATCTTAACAATGATCAATATATTACATCTTCAACTCCCTGGTTTACATGAGAGAGGTTGCTGCAGAAGTGGGACCTGAAAGGACACTTCCTGTCTTATGATGCTTGTAACATTGATCAGCTTTATACATCCTCTGAGCATCAGTCTAATACAATTCAAAAAGTCGTTTGCACTATTATCATTATTAATAAATAAACCAAGTACTAACGATCTGAACCGCAAAACGCAACCCGAAATACGGCGTAAATTATAAACGAAAAGATTTCTGAAATTCTATTTGTTTTTCTATGTGTCCAGCCTATTTCATCAACATGATTTAACTTTCAACGTGGTGGTTAAAATAGTGACTGTACTTCGCCTATGAACACGAAACAGTTCTAGTTTCAGCACCTCTGTTGAAGATTAGGATACGTGTTCAGTAACAGTGTTCTACTAATGCTAGATGAAGTTTAATATCAAACTTTACCTTCGGGTAAAAACGTAACCATACCAACATCTACTATTGGTGAATGTGGAAACTGATTATAAACATAGCATATCTGACGCCCTTTATGATACGCAAAACCAAAACATACGTCATCGGCTAAACAAGAGTGTGCACATCGTATCCGTCCAGGTAAAACTCTATAATCATAATATCCTGAAAATAGTTGGTCATTTGAGAAAGAGACATAAGTTCTAGAGATTATCTCAAAAGATTCACCAATTACAAATATAAACATACATCTCAACAATATCGACAACATTTTCCTCGGTTTGACTTGACGATACGAAACAATTGATTCTGAAGATAGTGACTTTTCTGCGTTAAAAGAAACATGCATCAATTTTATTATTATTGATTGCTGTACAATTTAAAAATTATTATTTTAACTGACTTCAATAATATGAAGTAAAGAAAATGACTAAAGTAGTTCAGTAGGAATTCAGAAAATAAAAAATACAGATTACATTTGTACAGTCTTCGTTGTGATTATTATTTTAAAAAGGATTGTTGTGCTCTATTGTAGTCATATAACTCATATTTTTATAACAAATTACCCTGTTCTTATCGACAATAGACTGATATAACGATTTATTAATGATTTGGTTTTCAAGAGGCTGTATTAGCAATTTAAGTCATTAGATGCTATGTATCAAGTCGAGAACATAGACT